GAGTTGAGTGATAATACAAGAAATTGTTCTTGAAAAATTTCCTTATAAATATATATGTATTCTATACTTCTTGAAAAACCGAGTAGTTTCTACTAGCGAAGGAATTATTGTCGGAACCGGACTTCAAAAGGTGGATACGATTAGAGGGAAGACATTTGGATTCCTAAAGTGAGTAACCACAAGAAGTGATCGTTACCAAACCGGGAATTGATTTCCTCATACATCGTCGGTTTTGAAGGAGTTCAAGAACAAAGGTAATTTTTATAAATTACATATCAAATCAAAATTAGTAAAAGTTACTAGATTTTAAATGATGCTTATTCGTAATATCGTTATACTTATATACGGAATAAGTATTCATAAGATAAATACTTATAAAAATTTTAAATTCCGCTGTAAACTCTGTTCCGTACAGTATATCGAACCCAACACCATCAGCCGACCGCCCGGCCACAGCGAGCCGGCGGTCTAGCCAGATAATGAACCGGCTGGTTTAGACCGGTTTTTGAGCTGTTCAGTAATTACTGATCCGGTCCGAGTTCAGTATAGTATTTCAGTTAATTTTTTAGTCCAGTTAGTTCAGTTTGCCGGTATTAGTTCAGTCCGATTTTCTAGACAATTAAGTTAAGTCCCGAGATAATATCAGTTAAATGTGTAGATCGAGTTGAGCATCTTAACAGCTATTTTCAGTCAGTTTGAGCATAGTACTTAGTATTTATTTATATATATTTTACAGATTGATTAACAGCAACACTTACAGTTTAGCAGTTCAGGTGGGAACTCAGAATAAGTATTACATTGATTATAATTACTCAACCACGTTTAAAGGTATGTAGATGAGATTATCCTTTTTGGGTGGGGGCGCGAGGCCCTAAGTATCCAAAGTTCTGGTGGAGGCGCGAGGCCTTAAGTATCCATCAGAGTGTGCACATGGAGGACATAGTGTCCGAGACAACTCGGCTAAGTTACAGACCTTGTGTCTGGAGATTACAGTTTACTTATACATACCTGCATCCATGATATTATTATTAATGTTTACAGTTCAGGTCCCATTTTCAGTTAAATTCTGTGTCCAATCCAGTTTAGTAAATTCATATCAGTTTAGTTCCGATTTTAGTCGATTCTGGTTATACCGGTTAAGCCCAAATATCATGTTAGTTCTAGTAGAGCATCTTAACATATTAAAAAGCTATTTTATCAGTCTGAGCATAGTATTTAGTAATTGTTTATATTATGTTTCAGTTTGATTAGGTTTCAATTATCATCACTGCCTTTTCTTTTCGACAGATCAGGTGGGGACTCAGACTGGGTATAACATTGATTATAATTATTCTACCATGTTTGAGGTATGTATTATCAGTATCCGCTCGGAATGGTCGCCAGTCCATTCTGGGTTCTAGTGGCCTTAGTCTGCCCACTAGAGTGTGCATATGGTGTCCGACAGTTATGCTGGCAAATGTTCAGGTATTAGGCAGGTGATGATTTTTACGACATCCGTATCAGGTCATGATTATTTAGTACATGTTTCAGTTCAGTTCAGTTATGTATGCCAGGATCATGTTATTGTAATTATTTTCACTGTTTACTTTAGTATGAGTTTTTGCGGAGCACATTGGATTTAGTGCTCACGTCACACATTATTCATGTTTTTCAGGTCACAGGGTCGGAGCTGAGGTGTGAGCTGGCGATCAGTTCAGGATTTTGTCTTTATGTCTAAAATGTTATGTCGACGCTACGCTTTTCCACTGATTATGACTATTTGACGAACTTAGCTTTTGATCAGACATCATGTTATGCTAAACAGTTTTGTTTTCTTTAAATTACATTAACCGTTTTTCAATCAAGTCATGTTTTATGGTAGCACTCCAAAACAAGATTTCGCAAATTAATCAGTATTTTTAAATGAAAGATTTTGTGAAAAACGCACTCTGATTTTCATGAAATAGCGGGGTGTTACAGTTGGTATCAGAGCACGTTTCTGCGTCTCTGAAAATTTTTACGAGACATAAAAGTTTTTCGAAAACCTGAACACGTCACGCTCACGCCTCACCGACTATAGGTAAGTGTTGATTCATGTTTCTAAATTATAAACAAATTACTATGTCTATGCTCAGAAATTTCTCAGTTATGAATTAGTTAAGATGCTCGAATCATGTTCAGGATCAGTAGTCAGTATAATCATGATTTAATGTCAGTATTCTTCAGTCATGTTTAGCAACTCGTCAAGAGAATTGTGCGCCTTAATGATCAGTTAAAATATTTTCCTTGTATTTTATCATGTCGAATCTTTCCAATATTAAGATGTCGCCCCGTAGGGAACTCGATCGTCTGGTTGTCCCCCGGGCCACCATAGTCGCACAGTTCCGCGACTACCACCCTGAGAAATTCTCCAGCCAGGGAGATCCTCGTATCGTAGACAAATGGGTTCAGGGCCTTGAATTGATTTTTGAGGTCATGGACTGTCCAGATCGCTATCGCGTTACATGCGCACAGCTGCAGTTAACCGGTGATGCTCGATTCTGGTGGAATGCTTACTGGAGTATGCGTCCCGGCGAAAAGGAAGGTTGTACCTGGGACAGATTCAAGGAGATGTTTCGTGAGAAGTACTATCCCACGTACTACCGAGCAGAGATGGAGTGTCAGTTCCTGTCGCTCAAACAGGGTACTCGCTCTGTTGATGAGTACGAGACAGAGTTTACCAGACTCGGAGCCTTTGTTCCCGATCTGGTGCGTACCGAGGCACAACCGGCACAGCCTTTCACTGACGGGCTTCACGCAGCAGTCCGTCACAACATTGTAGGTTACAGAGCCCTGACTTACGCTCGTACAGTTGCTATTGCCCAGGAGGTGGACGCCAGCATCCGTAGGGAGGCAAACCACGATCATCTGCAACCAATTTCCCCTGCTCAGTCATCCATAGCTTCACCCGTTCCACCAGCTGCTGCCCAACCACTAAAGAACCAAAAGAGAAAAGGAAGCCGCCCAGACCGACAGGAGGACCCGACAGAGGCCACAGCAAATTCCACAGTGCCCCACTTGTGGATGACTTCATCGCGGAGAGTGTCACGTTGGCTAGGATATTTGCTACTACTGTCACGAGCCGAGACATTTTGCTAACCGCTGTCCAAAGAAACTCCAGCAGCAACCACAACAGCCACAGCAGCCCCAGCAGCCACAGCAGTAGCAGCAACCACGACAGCAGGTTTAGGCTCAGAGGCCACCTCAGCAGCAGCAGAGGGGCAGACAGCAGGCCCGTGTTTATGCGGTTGATCAGGCCGAGGCGGAACAACACCCAGGTACTATGTCTACGATGCTTATGCTTAACGATATTCCCGTTTTCGCCTTATTTGATACTAGAGCGACTCATTCTTTTATATCACGACGATGTCTCGATGCCATTGGAGTTCATGCCATTACCGCTGTCGATCCTCTCGAGGTGAGTTTAGCCTTGGGACGAAAGATTGTGTCTTCTGCTAAAGCCACAGATCTCAACCTTTCTATCGGTGGCCGTATATTGTCTACCGACGCTTATGTTCTCGAGATTAGGGTCTTTGACCTCATACTCGATATGGATTGACTAATATATTTTCATGCAGATATTCGATGCCATGACCGAGAGATTACTCTTTATCTACCGGGAGATGATCAGATTACATTCTTCAACACTAAGACTCATTCTTTGCCTCATGTTATTTCCCTGACGAAAGCCAAAAAGATATTGCGACAAGGTGAATGTTAGGGGTATCTCGTAAGCGTTGTCGATGATTCTTCGAAGGCGCAAACACCTCACGACATTATTATTGTTCGTGAGTTTGTGGACGTGTTTCCAGACGAGCTTCCAGGAGGACCACCTAACTGGCAGGTAGATTTCTCCATTGATCTTATTCCAGGAGTCGGCCCAGTTTCCAAAGCACCTTATCGTATGGCGCCGAAAGAATTGCAAGAACTTAAGGTACAAATCCAGGAGTTATTGCGACTCGGTTTCATTCGGCCGAGCGTTTCACCATGGGGAGCACCCGTTCTCTTTGTCAAAAAGAAAGACGGTTTCATGTGCATGTGTATCGACTACCGGGATCTTAACCGATTGACGATCAAGAACAAATATCCACTTCCCTAGATTGACGATTTATTTGATCAGTTGAGGGGAGCTTGTGTTTTCTCCAAGATTGATTTACGATCAGGCTACCATCAGCTGAAAATAAAGGAGTCAGATATTCCCAAGACCGCTTTTCGTACTCGTTACGGTCATTATGAGTTCATTGTCATGCCATTTGGTCTCAATAATTCCCCAGCAGTATTTATGGACTTGATGAACCGTATCTTCCATCCCTATCTTGATCAGTTTGTTATTGTTTTCATTGACCATATTCTTATCTACTCTAAGAGCCAGAAGGAACACGAGGAGCATGTGAGGGTTGTTCTTGAAACCCTTAGACGAGAAAAGTTTTATTCAAAATTCTCTAAATGCGAATTCTGGCTCCAACGAGTAGCTTTTCTTTGTCATGTTATTACGCAGGCAGGTATTGAGGTTGATCCATCCAAGGTTGCCGCCGTTCAGAACTGGTCGACACCGAAGAGTCCGTCCGAGGTTCGCAGTTTTCTCGGTTTGGCTAGTTATTACCGCAGATTCATTGAGGGGTTCTCCAAGATTGCCCTTCCTTTATCCCTACTGACGAGGAAGTCTGTGAAGTTCGAGTGGATAGATCAATGTGAATCGAGCTTTCAAGAGCTCAAAAAGAGGCTAACTTCAGCACCGATGTATACTATTCCCGATCTTTCTTGGAGTTTTACCATTTTAAATGATGCTTCAAGACAGGGTTTGGGATGCGTACTCATGCAGGATGGCCAGGTTGTTGCTTATGCTTCACGCCAGATAAAAACCACATAAACAGAACTATGCGACGCACGACTTGGAGCTAGTCGCAGTTGTTCATGCCCTTAAGATTTGGTGACATTATTTATGCGACGGTCGATGCGAGATTTTCACCGATCATAAGAGCTTACAGTATATTTTCACTCAGAAGGAGCTCAACATGAGACAGCGTCGTTGGTTAGAGCTCGTCAAGTATTATGATTGCACGATCCAGTACCATCAGGTGAAGGCGAATATTGTTGTCGATGCCCTAAGCCGCAAGGTGAGGGGTGACTTGACGTACGTTGTTAGCAGCAGAGTCGTCTGATCCAGGAGTTCGCCTGGATGCAGATTCATGTGGTTGATTCACTTCCTACAACCATTACGGGGAGTGTCAGTTCTATGCAGATTCAGCCGACGCTGAGGGACAGGATCCGGCAGGAGCAGGCTTCCGATGAATTCGTTCGTGCCATTGATGCCAAAGTGCGCGCCGGAGGCGTCGAAGGTTTTCACTGAGGCACTGATGGGGCCTTGGAGTTTCGAGGCAGGATTGTGGTTCCAAAAGTCGAAGCGTTAAGGAAGGAGATTTTGACTGAGGCTCATACCGCACCCTATCTAGCCCATCCAGGAAGCATGAAAATATATAATGACCTGAAAAGGTCATTCTGGTGGCAAGGGCTGAAGAAGGACATAGCCGACGTTGTGAGTAAATGTTTAACCTGTCAGCAAGTCAAATCCGAACATAAGAGTCCCATAGGCCTTCCGCGACCACTGCCGATTCCGAGGTGGAAGTGGGAGGAGGTTACAATAGATTTTGTCACGGGGTTACCAAGGTCGTCTGAACATTACGATGCTATTTGGGTCATGGTCGACAGATTGACTAAGGTTGCTCATTTCTTACCAGTATCAATGAATATGTCTTTTGACAAGTTGGCTGAGATTTATACCCGTAGAATCATTCGACTCCACAGAGTGCCTGTTACTATCGTGTTAGACAGAGACCCCAGATTCACTAGTAGATTCTGGTAGAGTTTGCACGAGGCGATGGGCACGTGACTATATTTCAGTTCAGCCTACCATCCGAAGACTGAGGGACTAACTGAGCGGACCATTTAGATGTTAGAGCATATGCTACGAGCTTTGGTTGTTGACATGGCTGCTAAGTGGGAGTCGTTATTGCCATATGTGGAGTTCGCGTACAACAACAGTTATCATTCTTCAATTCAGATGGCTCCTTACGAGGCACTTTACGGTCGTAAGTGTCGTTTCCCTCTTTATTGGGACGATGTCAGTGAACGCCGAATACTCGGTCTGTAGATGATCGAGGAAACTGCAGAACAGGTCGAGTTGATCCGGCAAAGACTCAAGACAACTCAAAGTCGACAGAAATCTTCAGCCGTTCAGCATCGACGAGATATCCAGTTCGAGGTTGGTGAGCGAGCTTTTCTCAGAGTTAGTCCATTGCGCGGAGTTATTCGATTCGGGAAGAGAGGGAAGGTGCACCCTTGGTTCATTGGCCCGTTTGAAGTGCTCGAGCGAGTGGGCGAAGTAGCGTATCGATTAGCCTTACCTCCCAAGTTGTCCAGTGTTCATAATGTTTTTCATGTATCCATGTTACGTAAGTACGTGTGTGACCCTGATCATTTCATTCCTCATACCGATATTCAGATCCATCCAGATTTACCTTACGAGGAGCGACCGGTAGCTATGTTGGACCGACAGGTTTGATGGCTACGGAAGCGTGATGTTCCCCTCGTTCGTATTCAGTGGGATTGCCACGGAGCCACTTAGGAGCATGAGGCTAATATTCGTGCTCGTTTTCCTGATTTCCAGTTTTGACGTATATATTCTCTTATGTTTTATGTTTATATGTTTTGTTTTGTATTTCCGAGGACGAAACTATTTAAGGAGGGTGGATTGTAACGCCCTTAATCTTATTAACAAGGAAAATACTAGCTTTGAAATATAAGCTAGCCTTGTTTAATAAATAATCATGTCAATGTTCAAGATTAAGTTACCAACTAAGGTAAATTCCAAGTTCTACGTTGAGTCGAAAATATAGTCGGTTAATTTTATTTATTAACCGAGCCAATTCTAGTAATTAATCTCAGTCCGTTTATTTTAATAAATAGACATAGTAAGTTCGGGGTTAATTATTCCAGTGTTGACGTATTAATCGATTTTGAGAATATACGAGGACTCGTCAAAGATGAGTTTCGAGTCTAGATAGTAAGTTATTCAGATATAAGTTCGACTTAAGTCGATAGTCAATTCAGATTAATTTTATATTCAGTAATCGAATCAGTTCTGGTAATTAATCCCGAAATGTTTATTTTTATAAACGGATATTAATAGTCGGGATTAAATAATTTTAGTCGATGTATTGTTCGAAATCAAGAATACTCGAGTAAATCATCGAAGTCGAGCCATAAGCAGAGCTGAACAAGCCCAGCCCAAAAGATCCGTATCTGGCCATATACGCTCAGTATAAATGTCAAGCTTAAAGTTCACTAACCAAGGCTAAAAGATATTGTAACTTTTGTAAGTTAATGTCCTAGCATTAATGTCCCACATTATTCATGTTTTTCAGGTCACAGGGTCGGAGCTGAGGAGTGAGCTGGCGATCAGTTCTGGATTTTGTCTTTATGTCTAAAATGTTATGTCGACGCTACGCTTTTCCGCTGATTATGACTATTTGACGAACTTAGCTTTTGATCAGACATCATGTTATGCTAAACCGTTTTGTTTTCCTTAAACTACATTAACGGTTTTTCAATCAAGTCATGTTTTATGGTAGCACTCCGAAACAAGATTTCACAAATTAATCAGTATTTTTAAATGAAAGATTTTGCGAAAAATGCACTCTGATTTTCATGAAATAGCGGGGTGTTACAGTTGGTATCAGAGCACGTTTCTGCGTCTCTAAAATTTTTTACGAGACATAAAAGTTTTTCGAAAACCTGAACACGTCTCGCTCACGCCTCACCGACTACAGGTAAGTGCTGGTTCATGTTTTTGAATTATAAACAAATTACTATGTCTATGCGCAGAAATTTCTCAGTTATGAATTAGTTAAGATGCTCGAATAATGTTCAGGATCAGTAGTCAGTATAACCATGATTTAATGTCAGTATTTCTCAGTCATGTTTAGCAACTCGTCAAGAGAATTGTGCGCCTTAATGATCAGTTAAAATATTTTCCTTGTATTTTGATCATGTCGAATCTTTCCAATATTCAGATGCCGCCCCGTAGGGAACTCGATCGTGTGGTTGTCCCCCAGGCCACCATAGTCGCACAGTTCCGCGACTACCACCCCGATAAATTCTCTGGTTAGGGAGATCCTCGTATCGTAGACGAATGGGTTCAGGGCCTTGAATTGATTTTTGAGGTCATGGACTGTCCATATCGCTATCGCGTTACATGCGCACAGCTGCAGTTAACTGGTGATGCTCGACTCTAGTAGAATGCTTACTGGAGTATGCGTCCCGGCAAAAAGGAAGGTTGTACCTAGGACAGATTCAAGGAGATGATTTGTGAGAAGTACTATCCCACGTACTACCGAGCAGAGATGGAGTGTCACTTCTTATCGCTCAAACAGGGTACTCGCTCTATTGATGAGTACGAGAGAGAGTTACCAGACTCGGAGTCTTTGTTCCCTATCTGGTGCGTAACGAGGCACAACAGGCACAACGTTTCACTGACGGGCTTTACCCAGCAGTCCATCACAACATTGTAGGTCACGGAGCCCAGACTTACGCTCGTATAGTTGCTATTGCCCAGAAGGTGGACGCCAGCATTCGGAGGGAGGCAAACCACGATCGTCTGCAACCAATTTCCCCTGATCAGTCAACCACAGCTCCACCAGTTCCACCAACTGCTGCCCAACCACCAAAGAACCAGAAGAGGAAAGGGAAAGGCACCCAGACCGACAGGAGGACCGGACAGAGGCCACAACAGATTCCACAGTGCCCCACTTGTGGACGACTTCATCGCGGAGAGTGTCACGTTGGCCACGATATTTTCTACTACTGTCACGAGCTGGGACATTTTCCTAACCGCTGTCCGTAGAAACTCCAGCACCAGCCACAACAGCCCCAGCAGCCACAGCAGCAGCAGCAGCCACGACAATAGGTTCATCCTCAGAGGCCACCTCAGCAGCAGCAGAGAAGCAGACAGCAGGCCCGTGTTTATGCGGTCGATCAGGCCGAGGTGGAACAACACCCAGGTACCATGTCTGGGATGCTTATGCTTAACGATATTCCTGTTTTCGCCTTATTTGATACTGGAGTGACTCATTCTTTTATATCACGACAATGTCTCGATGCCATTGGAGTTCATGCCATTACCACTGTCAATCCACTCGAGGTGAGTTTAGCCTCGGGACGAAAGATAGTGACTTCTGCTAAAGCCACAAATCTTAGCCTTTCTATCGGTGGCCATATATTGTCTACCGACGCTTATGTTACCGAGATGAGGGACTTTGACCTCATACTCAGCATGGATTGACTAACATTTTTTCATGCAGATATTCGATGCCATGACCGGAGATTACTCTTTATCTTCCAAGAGATGATCAGATTACTTTCTTCAGCACTAAGACTCGTTCTTTGCCTCATGTTATTTTCATGGCGAAAGCAAAAAAGATATTGCAACAAGGTGAATGTCAGGGTTATCTCGTAAGCCTTGTCGATGATTCTCCGAAGGCGCGAACACCTCACGACATTCTTATTGTTCGTGAGTTTGGGGACGTGTTTCCAGACGAGCTTCCAGGAGGACCACCTAACCGGCAGGTAGATTTATCAATTGATCTTGTTCCAGGAGCCGGCCCAGTTTCCAAAGCACCTTATCGTATGGCGCCGAAAGAATTTCAAGAACTTAAGGCGCAAATACAGGAGTTATTGCGACTCAGTTTCATTCAGCCGAGCATTTCACCATGGGAAGCACCCGTTCTCTTTGTCAAGAAGAAGGACGGTTCCATGCGTATGTGTATCGACTACCGCGATCTTAACCGATTGACGATCAAGAACAAATATCCACTTCCCAGGATTGACGATTTATTTGATCAGTTGAGGGGAGCTTGTGTTTTCTCCAAGATTGATTTACGATCAGGCCACCATCAGCTGAAAATTAAGGAGTCAGATATTCCCAAGACCACTTTCCGTACTCGTTACGGTCATTATGAGTTCATTGTCATGCCATTTGGTCTCAGTAACGCCCCAACAGTATATATGGACCTGATGAACCGTATCTTCCATTTCTATCTTGATCAGTTTGTTATTGCTTCATTGATGATATTCTTATCTACTCTAAGAGCTAGAAGGAACATTAGGAGCATCTGAGGGTTGTTCTTGAAACCCTTAGACGAGAAAAGTTATATGCAAAATTCTCCAAATGCGAATTCTGGTTCCAGCGAGTAGCTTTTCTTGGTCATGTTATTACGCAGGCAGGTATTGAGGTTGATCCATGCAAGGTTGCCGCCATTCAAAACTGGTCGACACCAAAGAGTCCGTCCGAGGTTCGCAGATTTCTCGGTTTGGCTAGTTATTACCGCAGATTCATTGAGGGCTTCTCCAAGATTGCCCTTCCTTTATCTCAGCTGACGAGGAAGTTTGTAAAGTTCGAGTGCACTAATCGATGTAAATCGAGCTTTCAGAAGCTCAAAAAGAGTCTAACTTCAGCACCGGTGTTGACTATTCCCGATCCTTCTCAGAGTTTCACCATTTTCAGTGATGCTTCAAGACAGGGTTTGGGATGCGTACTCATGCAGGATGGCCAGGTTGTTGCTTATGCTTCACGCCAGCTAAAGCCACATGAACAGAACTATCCGACACACGACTTGGAGCTAGATTTGGCGACATTATTTATTGCAGTTGTTCATGCCATTAAGATTTGGCGACATTATTTATACGGCGGTCGATGCGAGATTTTCACCGATCATAAGAGCTTACAGTATATTTTCACTCAGAAGGAGCTCAACATGAGACAGCGCCGTTGGTTAGATCTCGTCAAGCATTATGATTGCACGATCCAGTACCATCCGGGGAAGGCGAATGTTGTTGCCGATGCCTTAAGCCGCAAGGTGGGGGGTGACTTGACGTACGTTGTTACTCAGTAGAGTCGTCTGATCCAGGAGTTCGCCCGGATGCAGATTCAGGTGGTTGATGCACTTCCTACAGCCATTACGGGGAGTGTCAGTTCTATGCAGATTCAGCCGACGCTGGGGGAAAGGATCCGGCAAGAGCAGGCTTCCGATGAATTCGTTCGTGCCATTGATGCCAAAGTCCACGCCGGAGGCATCGAAGGTTTTCACCGAGGCACTGATGGGGCCTTGGAGTTTCGAGGCAGGATTGTGGTGCCAAAAGTCGAAGCGTTGAGGAAGGAGATTTTGACTGAGGCTCATACTGTAACATATCTAGCCCATCCAGAAAGCACGAAAATGTATCATGACCTGAAAAGGTCATTTTGGTGGCAAGGGTTGAAGAAGGACGTAGCCGACATTGTGAGGAAATGTTTAACCTGTCAGCAAGTCAAAGCCGAACATAAGAGTCCCATAGGCCTTCTGCGACCACTGCTGATTCCGAAGTGGAAGTGGGAGGAGGTTACGATGGATTTTGTCACGGGGTTACCAAGGTCGTCTGAACATCACGATGCTATTTGGGTCGTGTTCGACATATTGATTAAGGTTGCTCATTTCTTACCAGCATCAATGAATATGTCTTTGGACAAGTTGGCTGAGATTTATACCCGTGGGATCATTCGACTCTACGGAGTGCCTATTACTATTGTGTCAGATAGAGACCCCAGATTCAATAGTAGATTCTGGCAGAGTTTGCACGAGGCGATGGGCACGAGACTAGATTTCAGTTCAGCCTACCATCCAGAGACTGACGGACAGACCGAGCGGACCATTAAGATGTTAGAGGATATGCTACGAGCTTTGGTTGTTGACATGGGTGCTAAGTGGGAGTCGTTATTGCCATATGTGGAGTTCGCGTACAACAACAGTATCATTCTTCTATTCAGATGGCTCCTTATGAGGCACTTTACGGTCGTAAGTGTCGTATCCCTATTTATTGGGACGATGTCGGTGAACGCCGAATACTCGGTCCGAAGATGATCGAGGAAACTGCAGAACAGGTCGAGTTGATCCGGCAAAGACTCAAGACAGCTCAGAGTCGACAGAAATCTTCAGCCGATCAGCATCGATGAGATATCCAGTTCGAGGTTGGCAAGTGAGCTTTTCTCAGAGATAGTCCATTCTGCGGAGTTATTCCATTCGGTAAGAGAGGGAAGTTGCACCTTAGTTCATTGGCCCGTTCGAAGTGATCGAGCGAGTGGGCGAAGTTGCGTATCAATTAGCCTTACCTCCCGAGTTGTCCAGTGTTCATAATGTTTTTCATGTATCCATGTTACGTAAGTACGTGTGCGACCATGATCATGTCATTCCTCATACCGACATTAAGATCCATCCAGATTTATCTTACGAGGAGCGACCGGTAGCTGTGTTGGACCGACAGGTTCGACGGCTACAGAAGTGTGATGTTCCCCTCGTTCGTATTCAGTGGGATCGCCACAAGGCCACTTGGGAGCAGGAAGCTGATATTCGTGCTCGTTTTTCTGATTTCCAGTTTTGATGTATATATTCTCTTATGTTTCATGTATATATGTTTTGTTTTGTATTTCCGAGGACGAAAATATTTAAGGAGGGTGAATTGTAACGCCCTAAATCTTATTAACAAGGAAAATACTAGCTTTGAAATATAAGCTAGCCTTGTTTAATAAATAAACATGTCAATGTTCAAGATTAAGTTATCAGCTAAGGTAAATTCCAGTGTTGACGTATTAATCGAACTTGAGAATATTCGAGGAATCGTCTAAGATGAGTTTCGAGACAAGATAGTAAGTTATTCAGATATAAGTTTGACTTAAGTCGATAGTCAATTTGGATTAATTTATATTCAGTAATCGAATCAGTTCTGGTAATTAATCCCGAAGTTTATTTTTATAAACGAATATTAATAGTCGAGATTTATTTTTAGTCGATGTATTATTAGAAGTCAAGAATACTCGAGTAAATCGTCGAAGTCGGCCATAAGCGGAGCCGAACAAGACCAGCCCAAAAGAGCCGTATCTAGCCATATACGCTCAGTATAAATGTCTAGCTTAAAATTCACTAACCAAGGCTAAAAGATATTGTAACTTTTGTAAGTTAATGTCCTAGCATGAATTAAGTTTGGAAGGTATCAGCATTTGTGCATGGCTAGATTATTATATTTTCAGTTGAGGAGAAAGTGCCATTTGGTTTAGTGACTAAGCTAAGTAAAATACACCTAAGCATAATTTTCTTGGATGTATCCTCATTAAAATAATTCACCTTCTATTTATATTCACTTTATTTGTCTATAAAATGCCCAGCATCAGGTAAGAAGTGAATTGGACCTAGATATCATTTCATTATATTATCCCCTTCACTTAGCAAATATTATTCACTCACCTTAGCAAAATAAAAAGAAACCGAGAGCAAAGAGCAAAAACAAAAGAAAAGCCGAGGCTTTATTTACGCAAGCACATCTAAATTCTTGATTCTGTTTCTTAGTTGTTTAAAGAGGTAAGAACTAATCCTTAGCATGTGGTATAAGCTGAGTAAAAGTTTTTTTTATGTGCTACAATCAACTATACATTTTAGTTCTTAATTGTGCATTAGATTGCAATAAATGAAGGTGTGTTCTTCACATACGCATGGAGCATATGTTCAGTTTATATGAGATGTTGAGTATGCTAAGATTATTCATGTTATAATCAGTTATGTCGATTCATGTGATAAACGGTAGGAAGAATTGTCAAGTGGCCGAACATATCGGCCGTAGCGTCGGATCGCGCCTACGCGCACGCTACACTCATTTTCCGAGCCATGTCAATGTCTTTCTTATGCAAATTTCATGTGATTATGTGGTTATGATCATGTTAGGTTATATCAAGTTGGTTCATGTTAAAATGGTCGGGAGAAATCGCCGGACGGCCGGCAAGGGCCGGTCGTGGTCGCGCTACCCGCACACAGCGGCAGCAGCGTGCCGGCAGTCAGCCAGTGTGGGCGGACAGCGTGCTTGCATGCCGTAGGGCGTCGCGCATAGCCTGCCCGCAGCATCAGTCTATTGGCAGTGCCTGTGCACGCCAGCAGGTCACAACGCACGCTAGTGCGCATGTTCGCACGTCAGTTGGCCTCGGCAGGCCCATTGGCCGAGCCAGCAGTTGACCGCCCGGCCGCGGCAGGCCGGTGGACCGAACAGACCGGTTCATCCCAGTTCAATCTATATTTTAATATTTTACAACCCAGTTCATGTTCAGGTCCCATTTTCAGTTAAATTCCGGGTCCAGTCTAGTTCAGTAAAATCATATCACTTCAGTTCCGATTTTAGCCAGTTCCGGTTATACCGGTTAAGCCCAAATATCATGTTTAGTTCTAGTAGAGCATCTTAACATATTAAAAAGCTATTTTAGCAGTCTGAGCATAGTATTTAGTAATTGTTTATATTATGTTTCAGTTTGATCAGGCTTCAAATATCAGCACTGCCTTTTCATTTCGACGGATCAGGTGGGGACTCAGACTGGGTATTACATTGATTATAATTATTCTACAATGTTTGAGGTATGTATTATCAGTATCCGCTTGAAATGGTCGTCGGTCCATTCTGAGTTCTAGTGGCCTTTGTCTGCCCACTTGACTGTGCACATGGTGTCCGACAGTTATGCTGGCAGATGTTCAGGTATCAGGCAGGTGATGATTATCACGACATCAGTATCAGATCATGATTATTCAGTACCGGTTTTAGTTCAGTTCAATTATATATGCCAGGATCATGTTATTGTAATTATTTTCACTGTTTACTTTTGTTTGAGTTTCTGCGGAGCACAGTAGATTTAGTGCTAACGTCCCACATTATTCATGTTTTTCAGGTCACAGGGTCGGAGCTGAGGAGTGAGCTGGCGATCAGTTCAGGATTTTGTCTTTATGTCTAAAATGTTATGTCGTACGCTTTTCTGCTGATTATGACTATTTGACGAACTTAGCTTTTGATCAGACATCATGTTATGCTAAACTGTTTTGTTTTCTTTAAACTACAATAACGGTTTTTCAATCAAGTCAGTGTTTTATGGTAGCACTCCGAATTAAGATTTCACAAATTAATCAGTATTTTTAAATGAAAGATTTTGCGAAAAACACACTCTGATTTTCATGAAATAGCGGGGTGTTACATCCGTAATGAAGCCTATAAATACACCATGTCCCAATCTCTCCTACATGTTATGTTGGCCGATTTTCTCATATACATACATGTGAGAAATAGCATCGTTTGATAGTTAGGGAGATTCGATCACAAGTTTAATCGAAATAGGTGTTTAGGTAATCCGTTAGAAGGCTTTTGGGTACAATTTATTCGAGCCTTTATACATATATATTTCCGGTCACTTTCCTTAGCCGATTGCCACCGTCCACCGCCGTCGACCGCAGCCGGAAGCCGTCCGCGACCAGCCGATCGTAACCGCGAGTCGCCACCCGCAGTCGTGCCCAGCCAGTCGTCGTCCCACCTCCCAGCAGCGACGCCCAGGACCGTCGCACGAAGGCCCGATGCCCGTTCGTGCGATCGCCCATCGTTCCCAGGATGCCATCGCGCACGACCCCAGCGATGCCCGACTGTTCGTTGTTCGTCCCCAGCGCGCCAGTGCAACGTGCGCGACAATCCGCGAATGTCCCTGCTGCCTTGCTCCACACGCCGCGTGTTCCCAGACGCCCAGCGCTAGTCCGCATCGGCATAGGAGAAGCGCACAGTGTGCACGCACACGCCCGAGGCTGCCAGCGCCCCTTCGTGTAGCCTACTCCCCGCACGTCTGCGACACGAACCCTGCCAGTACTCGTCCGCATCACGCCTGCAGTCCACGACAGTGCTCACGACCCGCGTACATGCACGATATGCGCCAGACGCGCACGAGCTGCCCGCTGCACCCGATGCCCAGACCCGTGTGTTGTTCGACCAAACCTCGTTTGACGTGTCGATTAGAATCGACTAAAGGCCAAACGTA